ATACCTGAAAAAAGTCAGAGTTTGTTTAAAAGTAACTTGATTTTTAGTTATCTTTTAGTTTATGTGTGGAGAAAGCTGGGGAGGTAGAGGGAGTTGATGTGGGAGTAGGGATAGAAAGAGCTGTCAGCAAAGGGGTTTGGCTGAAGCTGAACAGTAGGCCTGGTTGCAGTCCTGATTGTGGAGAGATGGAATTAGGCAGGTATTTCTCTCCCTGAAAGGGAGGGGTATTTCTTTTTGAGAGAAATTTGAATTGCTTGTGGTGCTAAACACCTTGTTGGTATTGAGTGGAGTGCTTTCAATATCTGCTTCTTTCAGCGAGGTGCAATCCTCTTCCTGGGCTACGATTTCAGTGAGAACCTTCTGGGACGTGGCTATTATCTTGCAGATGTTTAAATATCATAACTGCCTAGACTCTCTTAGATGTTTTAAAGGAACTGCATCTCAGTGCTTAGAATGTTATTCTAGAGGTCTTATTTTGGAATTGCTCGGGTACTGCTGTATAATATCTTGGCAATCTTTTGTTACTTAAAATTGATTTTAGCCTGACAAATGGAAAGGTGTATGATGTTTTATCCTGTACAACTTTGGCTATTTTTGGTTTTTATTTTTTTTTCCTTATGTGTTTCCAACATTGTGTATGCTTTTCTTCCTGGTCTTAACCAATTTAGAGATTTGGATGTTTTCAAATGAATGCATAAGTTATTCAATATTGAGCCTCCGTTCAGAGGTGAGGATGGTGATGTGGTACATGCCGGCCTTTTTTAGTTCTTTCTAGAGGGGAAGACAGAATGCTACTTGTTTCTGTATATGCAACTGCATTACAAATGAATAGCCACTAAATGGTGCTAAAGGATTGGGAAACATTTTCTCTGTAGCGCTGCAGAGAACAGTAATGTCTCTTTCTGTTTGAACAGGCAGGAAAACATTCAAGGTTATTTCATGCAGGTATGAAAAGAAAGTATATTACTGTATCGTTGCCAGTCTTGTTCTTGTACCTGTTCTTTCTAGTTTGTGACGGTGCTTGTTTGATGAGTAATTAGAAATTCTGGTTGCTGTTGAGTTTTTCAGATGAAACAGAACTGGAATTCATCCTGTCTGTTACTGGTAAATATTATTCTAGAATATAGATTTCTCTGACTGTCTTCCGAATGTTCTGAAATTAGTGTGCTTTCACGTTTTGTGATCTTTTGAGAACAAGCCAGCTTTTGAAATCTAAACTATGGCTGAAGATATAAGGGTTGCTATATGATGCTCTCACTCAGAAAAGGTTATTAATGAACAGTTTGATCAGGCTTCAGGTTGAATCTGAGACCAAAACCTTGTATTTGTGTTTCCATAGTTAGCCAGGCACACCCAAAATTAATATCCACGATTATTTACCATGCTGACAAATAGGTCCTCCAAAATTAGATCAAATGCCAAGCTAGGACTACTTAGCTTTCTGCTCCTAATTTTCCTAATAATCACTACCCTGATTTGAAATCTTCTAGTGGGCAGGCTATACTTATGATTATTTTTCTTTTCTTGTTCTAATACTGTCATTTAACTATGTAACTCTTATTGTGTCTGGTTTTACTTTAAGTTTTGTTTTGAGAATCTTCAAAACTGTGATACCTTTTTCTGAACAAAGGTGACAAAGAAGCAATTCGTGTTTGCATTGTCCAGTATGGGCAGATGTTATGCTGTCATATGAGCAATTCTGAAAACAGTGTCCCATCACTAAAATCACTGTGATGATAATTCTGGGTGTAATTGAGTATTTTATGAGATATTTTATTTCTTATTAGAACATAGATATATGCAGTATTAAAATCCTCATCCGTGAATGTGGAAACTTCATAAAGACGTGTTGTTGCAATCAATTTGGATTTCAGAAGTAGTTTAAAAAGTTGAGGGAGTAAGATGTCATTGAGTGTCTCTAAGCAGAATGTGAATTAATATTTAAGTGCTATGATCTGATCTCTGGAGCATTTTATTTGGCAGAAAATGTTGAGGGCAGCATTGGTAATGCTTTGAAGCTCTTGCCCTCTGACAGATAAGAGAAGTACCTTAAGGCACTAAGTGGCTTATTTTCTGTTCCATCCAATGGCTTTTCTTTAATCAAGACTTGGAGAAAAGAAAGATCTGTATTGGTATGTCTAGTGGTAGCACAGAGAAAATCAGAACCCTGTTACTGGAAGTGTTGGCAATTATCCTTTGCCTTAAGGCGAATCCCAATGTGAATTAATGGGTTTCCTTATTTTGGGCTGTTTCTATGGCTTTTCCCAATGTTATCCCTGTTACATTGAGTGCAGACTAAACCTGCATTGCTCAAAAAGCTGTAAATGCTTCTTGAATTTGAGATGTCTGTGGACACTCATTCTGTCTTTAATTCAAACTCCTGTTTTAATACAATGATTCCTGCCATACTTAGCAGGAATTCAAATTATTGTTTTGGTGGAGAAGGGAATCTTTTTTGATTGTAATCAGTGGTTTGTATTGGTTTCTTCTTAATTAAAACAAACCTTTTTTTTTTTTCTTTATTAATGTTTGTGCTTTTGCGAATATCTAAACGTTAATGTCTTGGACAACTTCAGGTGTGCTGGGAAAATCCAGAGGCAGTAGCTTGTGACAAAATACTTAGTCAAGACTAAATATAGGTGGTATACTTGAGGGAAAGGGAAAATAATATTAAGGTGGTGAATCATAAAGCCTTTACAGGTAGACATGGGAGAAACAAAGTAGATGGGAAATTTCTTCTCCCATTCTTATGATTTTTTTTTTTTTCCTGTTGACAGAAATGTCTGGTACCTTGCAGTCCATTACAGGTTTTTTATTTTGGTGACATAAAAATAACAAAACAAAACCACACAAAAAACCTCCCAGAACAAAAATCCAAACAGCAAAAATCTGTAAATGCTTAATTGCTGTTATATTCTTTCCTTTGTCCGTCTCTAAATTGAAATTCTGAAGTAGAGCCTTTGACTACAATTCTACAGGGACTTTAACTGGGGATGTGTCATGCTATAACATGAGTTCTGTTGGAATCATAGAATAGCTCAGGTTAGAGAGGGTATCAGGAGGCCATGTAGTCCAACCTCTTGCTAAAAACATGGTCAATTTTTAATTCAGACCAGCTTGCTCAGGACTTTGTCCAGCAGGATCTTCAAAACCTCTAGTGTGAGAATTTTTGCAGTCTTTCTGGGCAATGTGTTCCTATCTGAGGTTGTCCCTGCAGTGAATTTCTTTTTTCTTCCTTATTTCATGTCAAACTTCCCCTGTTTAAGTTTGACAGTTGAGGTCTCCTTTCTTCTCACTTGCGTCTCAGAAGAGAACCTGGCTCTGTTTCCTTAATGACCTCCGCAGAGATACTGGAAAGCTGCTGCGAGGTACATCCTAAGTGTCTTGTCCTCTAAACAAATCCTCAGCCTATCCCCAGAAGTCTCATGGTACAGCCCTTTTCGTGGGCCACCTTGGCTCACTCCAGTTTATCATTTTTCATGTGCTGCTGGGCCCCAAGCGGGTTGCAGTGTTCCAGATGTGGTCTGGTGCTGAGTAAAGGGAAACAATACCTTTCCTCAGCCTGCTGGCCAGGCTTTTGTTGATCCAGTGTAGGGTGCTGTTAGGCTTCAGTGTTGCGAGAGTGCTCTGCTCCTTCGTGTTCAGCTTGCTTTCCACCAGGACCCGCGTGTGTTGCTGTGCAGAGCTGCGGTCCTGCCGGTTCTCTAGTCCATACCCATGCCAGGGGTTTTTCTGTCCAAAGTACAGGACTTTGCACTTGGTGAATTTCGGGAGATTCCTGCCAGTGAATTCTTACAGCTCTCTGGTTGTTGGTCCTGTCCTCAAGTATACCAGTCATTCACCCCAAAATTTGGTGTCCTCCTCAGGACCGATGAGGTTACGTTCTGTCTTCACCTCTGATCACTGATAAGGAAAAAGACACAAGTTAGACACAGTACAAACCTCTGAGAAACTTTGCTTTTAACCAGCCTCCAGTGTCATTAACCGCTGAACTTCAACTCCTGAGCTCAATACCAGCCAGTATTTCATCAGTCCAGTGGTCCACCTATTTTGGTGTCCTCCTCAGGACCGATGAGGTTACGTTCTGTCTTCACCTCTGATCACTGATAAGGAAAAAGACACAAGTTAGACACAGTACAAACCTCTGAGAAACTTTGCTTTTAACCAGCCTCCAGTGTCATTAACCGCTGAACTTCAACTCCTGAGCTCAATACCAGCCAGTATTTCATCAGTCCAGTGGTCCACCTATTTTGATTGTATGCTGAACTTCAACTCCTGAGCTCGATGTCAGCCGGTATTTCATCAGTCCAGTGGTCCACCTATTTTGATTGTAGTGACTCACTTTGGTCCCTACTGCTCTCTCCTTATTCACAGATTCCAATAAAGTTATTATACAAGGCAGTTGGGCTCAGTAGGTGCTTTTTTTTCACCTTTGGTAAAGGCTGGCCATTCCTAATCTTGTGGTGGTTTTTTTTTTGGTTTTTTTCCCTTTGTGTGTCTAGAAATAGCTCCGAGAAGAACTTGCTCTATGAATTTCTTAGCATTTCCCCTTTGTGTGTCTAGAAATAGCTCCCAGAAGAACTTGCTCTATGAATTTCTTAGCAACTGAAGGGAAGCTGACCTGCCTGTTCTTCAGATCATCCTTCTTGCCCTTTTGAAAGCAGGGAGTGACATTTGTCTTTCTCCAGTTACAGAGGACTTCCTCTAATCTCCGTGACCTTTCAAAGATGATAGAGAGTAGCCTTGAAAAAATATCAGCCAGCTTTTTCAGGACCTCTCGATATATCCTATCTGACCCCAATTTTTTCTTCAGTGTGCAAAACATTGAATAATAGTTCAAAATTCTCTCTCATTCTTTCTTAAAACAGTAAAGCTCTTTAAAGGAGAATGGTTAGAACTCAGTTTTGAGTAGATAGGTATTTAGAGCTCTGAAACCTAGCATCAGAGTTTCTTGGTAACTGCTGTCGTGGAAACCTTAGTAACAGTTCCCTGAACGAGTCATGTCTTGGCGTAAGGTAAGTCAGGGCGTTTGTGGCTGTCCCTGGCCCTGCACTGCCTTCCCCTCCCTTATGTCATTACCAGTACTCACATGATCAGTTAGCCAGGTGAGGGTTCTGATGGCTTTCCCTCCTGTTCCCTTTACCTCTTTAATTTTTTTAAATTTCCCTTTACCTTCTTTAATTTTCTTCTGGTCAGCCTTCTGCACTAGTGTCCTTTACAATGCCCTTGGCACCATTTAATCTTGCACAAGAAATGGGGGTGAGGAGAGACAGGGATGAGACTGAGACAGCCCAGTCCTTCGTTAGCTGGAATAGCTGTAGAACATCACACTGCCTGCAATTTGAAGAAGTTGAAATGCAATTTTTATACCTGCAGCATTTCACTTTGAGGATCCTCAAAACTAGCTCTTAGGTGGTTTTAGGAGATAGGAAGGGCAATATTATTCTGTTTCTAGATAATGCGTATTTTTGATGTGCAATGCTGTCAAAGTTTATTAGAAAGTAGTTGCAAGGCAGCATTATTTTTATGAATGCCCGCTCAACATTTGTCTTAAAAATTGTAGTTCTATCATGGCACTGTCATACTGCTGTCTTGCTTGAAAAGCAACTTCTAGTAAAATCCAAATATAAAATGGAATAAATTTTTTGTTCTACAGTTAGTAGAGCAGGGTTGAATTTTGCATTCTTCCTAAAATGTTGTTACAGTAGAGGGAAGTGCATTTGATGTAAGGTGGGTGTTGAGTAAGATTAGTGATACAAGCTTGTCGCTTATATTCTCCTTGCTTTAAAAACAAAAACTGTGGTTGAGCTCTGGTTATGTAACTCTTTATTTTTTGATTCAAGTTTGGAGGTGGCAATTACGTGCCTGCATCTAAATGCTTTGAAGAAGACATAAATTGGTCTGTTTCCTTTACAGATAAAGATTGCACACTACTGACTTGTCTGCATCAATATGGAATCAACTGATAATTAGCATAAGAACTTACTGTGTTTTCCTGAAAAAGCATCTCTCCTAGATATTATACTGACTATATTGCCAGGACTCGAGTACCAGATCTCAGAGCTGAACGTTTAAGATGAGAGCGTGTGCATCTCCTGTTCCCCACTCTTCCTTTGGAGGGGTTTACCACTCAGATCTTCTGAGAATTCAGTGATACTGTCTGTTCTCAGTTCCAGTGTATGTCTACTCCGCAGTTCCCGGATAGGAATGTAGCTTTGTGTGAGATAAGCTGATTTTAGGTCATTCAGTTAGATGCTGTGAAAAAACTTTGGTCTCCCTTACAGATTTTGTTTGTCCCTTCTGGACCTCAGTACAGAGACTAGTGAATATATTTTTTTTTGGAGTGGTATTTGGGTGATTTAAAAAAAAATTAAAGATACTATTAGACTTTTCACTTGTTGTGAATGAATTAAGCTTCCCAATGTCCCTGTTAAGATGGTTGAGACAAAATATGCTCTCCTGTTTTCTGAGAAGTTGACAGAGGGAGCTTGCATATATGAGAGTGTCATTTTGGGGCTGCAGCCACCATTTCTGACTATGGGAAATTTTAATGATGTCTATTCTTAGAGATGCTAATAGTACTAGATTTGAAATTTCTTGGAGGTCAAGGGTTGGAGGAGACCTGCTGTGTTGTAAATGCCGTTGCCTGCTGATTCTGGTGCCATTACAAATCTTTCCAAAATGGATGATGTTTTATTTTGATAATACTTTTTTTTTTTTAATGTGTATCCTAATGAGAAGGCTGTTACAAGACCCTGTCTAATTTTCAGCCCAAGTTAAATAAGCTTTCTTTAATTATTATTAGTGCTATCTTTTAGTTTGTTCTTCTCCCTTACTGCTTCCCTTTTCCCCTCCACTTTTTGAAACAAGCTACCTAAGATATTGTAAAATTTTAAGATGCTCATAAGCAAAACGGATTCCCTCTTTTCTCTCCCTCCCTCCCCATAGCCTAGCAGCAGGCATTCAGCACTTCCTCCTTAGCTTTTCTGATAAACTTCCTCTCTGGCATGTAACGCCTACTGTTGCCAGGATGCTGAGGCTCTCAGACAGATATTGCAGCTCTTGCCAAATCAAATTTTGTATGACAGTTGCTATTTCCAAGATGCAATCTTGGCATGCAAGTGCTGTCTAATCTTCAAAAGCTATGTCCTAGAGGCCTGTTAACTTCTGAAAGTATGTTCTGTAGGCAAGCGTCCGCCAGATACACCACTGAGTAACCTTGCCTGGGATAGCAGCGTAGGAAACTGCACTGTCTCTTGTCCTGATGTGGTGAACAGTTGTGTGTTAAATATGTAAGCAGCTCTATGGACAATGGAAATGGTTACAGCTTAATTATAAATTTTCTATGCCACTTTATTTGCCTTTTAAAATGTGTCATGATAGTATGCCTGTTATTGTAATGGGGCGATCTCCATATGTGTTATTGATAATGTTTGCTTAGCATTTAAAACCTGGAAACAACCCGAGTTGTAGAATTGACAAGTAATTAATAGGATTGACAGGCAATAGGTAGAAACTTTCCCTTCTTTTACCATAAAGCTAACGGAAAATACATGGTGACTGCTGATTCATATTGGCACATGTGACAGTTCCTCTAACGTTTTTCTACTTTGAATTTTTCATTATTGTTCATTCTTGTGATAGACTATATTTTAACTCCTCCATTATTGTTTTGAGTATGGTGGGATTTTTGTCCCTACGTTGTCCCTACAGTTAGTTGCAGGCTAGCTGTGCTTAATATTTGAAGAGCTTTAGGGCATCTTTGTTACGTTGGAGGATTCTTAATTATGTTGAAGGATTTGGTTCATAGAAGACATTGTCTTTATGATCTGTCTTGAAGGTGACTGTGAGGGTGACCCTTTCAAATGAAAGCAGGTGCTGTCTTGTCACAGGAATGGTTGGATGCAACCTGAGTGACGAATAAGTGAAAGAACTGGGTGCCATCAGGTGTCATATGAATGGAATGTAAAACTTGGTAGCTCTGACCTTTGTATGGACTACTTAAATGCTTATTTCCAGAGCAGCCTGGGCTGCGTATGTCCTACTCTTTTTCAGAGGCTTACGTTGGCAATTAGTGTGTTTGAAAGTGAGTATGAGAACATTCTCTACATGAGTTGGCAGTTTTGTCATTTAATTAGTTCTTTGTTTATGCTCTCAAAACTAGACTAAATCCTGCTAAAATAAGTTTTTATTTGATTTATCTTCTGTCTTTATCGAAGTGGAAGACTGAAGATTTTTTCTTTCTTTTCTTTTTTAAGGTATACGTTGGTGAGCTTCCTCAAGATTTTCTTCGCATTACCCCAACACAGCAGCAACAGCAAATCCAGCTGGATGCCCAGGCAGCTCAGCAGCTACAGTATGGGGGACCTATGGGTACAGTAGGCAGACTCAGCATTACTGTAGTACAGGTAAAATTGTACCATCTTTAATTACAATTACTTAATTGTACAGGTAAAATTGTACCATCTTTAATTACAGTTACTTAATTGTACAGTTAATAAATTAACCTTTTTTTGATTGGTGCCCACTAAAAGATTTTATGTTGGAGTTTGTTACTAAATGTCCTGTACATACAACTACTTGTATATATAGGAATGAGTAATTTTTAAAGTTTTTTGTAGCTTCATGTTTCTGTACACCAGCTTTTTTCCAGTTTTGTGTTCCATAGCTGCATTGTGCATGCTGCAGCAATTTCCTGTAAACCTTGCTATTATAGCACATAATCAAATAAACTATTGGGCTTTGTACAGTGAACACTTTTTTCTGAAAACTTCAGTTAAGTTTTCCTGTAGAAACACTTCATATTGGAAGACATAAACAGTTTTGAGAATATTGTTGGGAATTGCAGTGGCCTTACATATTTTTCCTAAAGTGACTGCTCTGTTCTTTTCCCATTTTCTCTAATGCATTTGCTGTTTTTCCTAGTGCTTTCTGCAGCTTTTCTTATTAGTCATAAGTGCGTAGTCCTAGCTCTTTATTTTCTGCTTCCTCTTTTTCCTTGTTATCCTTTCTTTTATCTCTTGGCAGTACTGTGTTACTGCATTCACTAGGCATAAGATGTCAGGTTTTAAAACTTGCCTGTCTTAACACAATTCTGTTTATCTATATTGGCATACCAGATGTTCTTCATATTAACACACCTCATCTGTTTACAAGTGCTGTTTTCAAGTTATTCTCTAAAAACATCCCAAAGAGATGTTTAGCCTTAATTTTAGCACCAAGGCATATGGTTATAGCTTCAATGGTGAGGCCCTTATTGGGGAGTAAATCTATATAGGGCCTCTCAGGAAAGCAGCACTGATCCTTCCTTTCTATGTCTTTCAGTGATCAGTTTGCTCCTTCACAGCAGGTACGCTTCCTCTGAAAACTGGCGGTGGTGCTTTTTCAAAGTGTATTACTTCTAAGGTCTAGACACTTGAACTCATTCATTGCATTCAGTTGCAGCCCTCTTTCTAGTTCTGAGGAGTTTCCCAATCTGTGTTCAGAAAGTGTAAGATTGGAAGCTTGTTCTGCAACTTTGAACAGCAGAAAAGCTTTACCACTTTGGAGCATAGTGCTAGAAACTTTAGTATAATTTTTTTTTCCAGAGCTAGGAATAGGTGATTCAGGTTCAACCTCAGAGCTACGAGAAAACAACACATTTATCAAACAACATGTCATGTCTCTCTAAAGAGACATACTACTCCCTGGTGGTTTCTGCCAACTTGTATGCTACTCCGTAGCTTCTTCATCTTTGGCTGTTTGCATGGACAGCTGAAAGTGCTTTTTGTCATGGGTGTTGATCCAGTTGGTATAGACAGTAGAAATTCCTGGAGCAGATAAGGGGACCTACAGTACAGTGCTCAAGAAGGAGGTTTGCGTGTCACTTTGAGTGGCTATGTACAGAAACATCCAGATTCCTGTTTGGATGGGTGAACTGATGGGAGTTGATACTGGTCTTTATCAGGTTCAGTCCTCGTCTATTTTTAGGTGCTTGTGCAGACAAGAGAGAATATTTCTCTTGCTTGAAGAATAAAGCCTAATGGCTGTTCCTGGTGCTGTGGCTGTAGGTAACCACTTGTTGTGGGGTCACAGGATAGTTGAGGTTGTAGGGGACCTCTGGAGTATACACTGTCCAAACCTCATCCCACCGCTAGCCCTGTCCACCCTGGAGGCCAGTCCCTTAATTGAGGAAAGGCTGAGAGAGCTGGGGAACAGTCTTGAGGGGGAATCATCAAGTAGCCCCTGCCATCAGGTATTTATGAAGAAGATAGCTGGGCTCTTTTCAGTGTTAGCTAGAGGGAAGACAAGAGGCATAATGAGCACAAATTGAAATAAAGCAAACTCCTACTTAAATACATATGAAAAACCTATGAGAGTTGTCAAACATTGGGACATGTTGCCCAAGGGGGTTTGTAGAGCTTCCGTCCATGGAGACAGTCAGAACTTGCTGGACTAGAGTGTCTCTAGAGGGCCCATCCAACCTCAGCCATTCTGTGGTTCTGTGAAACCCTTAGTTGTCTTGGCCCTTTGCTGGACTCATTTCAGTACACCTGTGTCTTCTACTGCACAGCCTGGAACTAAACAGAACCGTGTTCCACATACAGTCTCACCAGTGCTGAGCAGAAGGGATCATCTTCATTGACCTGCTAGCTGTGCCTTTCCTAATGCAGCCCAGCATGCTGTCTGTCTTCTCTGCTGCAGGGATGCATTGCTGGTTTATTTCTAACTTGGTGTCCACCAAGACCCCCAGGTCCTTCTCTGCCAAGCTGCTTTCCCACCAGTTGGCCCACAGCCTCTTGTGGTGCATGTGGTTATTCTTCCTCAGGGACGGAATGTTTTAATTTGTTGAACTTTGAGATTCTTGTCTATGCACCTCTCCAGCCTGTCAGGGTCCCTCTGAACGGCAGGACAACCCTCCCAAGAGCTAGTGTTCCCTACCTGTCTGAGAGTTTATGTGAGAACACAGTGGGAATCTGTGCTGTGTATTGAGGCGTGTGGTATTCTGGATAGGAGACTAACACGGCGTAGTTAACCTGGGGAACATGAAAAGCTGGTTGAGGTCTTTTGTTTTTAAATGTGTTGATAAAGAGCAGTGTGCCTTAATTCTGTTACTCATAAACTAGTGGAAGATCAGAAAGTGTTTTTTGGAAGATAATTTATTGCTTTTTTTTTTTTCCTGGTAGATATATAGGAATGGTGGTGAGTTTGTCTAAGCACGGTTGATTGTGTCCTCTTAAATTACTACCCAGACAATTTATATGCTCTTTTTTCCTTTGGTGAAGTTTTATGGTAAACTGCTTAATGTCAGGATTTCAGAGTCTAGAGAGTGCATCATTTCGGTGCCAGCTTTCCTACTTTAAGCCCACATTTACAAGGAACAGTTTGAGACATTTCTCACCAGCTCTAGCATACGAATTACTGAACCAGCATGTGCCCTGAAGGAGGAAAGGGCTTTCCAGGCAGCCCTTGTGACTAGATCTTAGGCAAGTCTCAACTGTTCCAGTTCTTTAAATGTTCTGTAGGTGGAAGGCATGCTAGGCACCATATTTTGTCACTTTTCTTACTATAAAAAGAACTGTAGGCTGCTTAGTGTAGGTCAGAGAAACAGCATGTCCAAAAAGTCTGATTTCTGCTTTGGCATAGCTGTGCAACAGTACTTGGTGTTGTCTTCAGGACTGGCATCATCTTCTTTTGTTCTACTCCTCTGATGTTACAGCAAAACTATGTTGGATATCTTCTGGTTTTACACAGCATCTTTTTTTATAGTCACACAGAACTTTAGTTGCCCACTGAATTAAGGAATACCAAATGCACACGCTGAATTAAGTTTTTTTTAATCACTTTGAAAAGTATGATCTACTGGACTTTACCTCAGTTGAACTGCTTTTCTATTGTGTGATGTTCTTGAAGCTACTGGATTTCTGTATTTCATCCTTTAGAAGTACATCAGTGTAAGAGGACAGGTGACCTCTCACATTAAGTTTGTGATTGTGTGTTGGAGAGCAGACACTGAGGCAAAAAATTGAATGTATTAGTATTTCCTTGCAAATGGGTATCTTTTGGTTTGGTATGAAGTGACTTATTTTAGCTGAGGTGAAGATGTGTGTTTGCTACAGCAGACTGTTACAAAAGAGGGTCCCTTTTCAAGGTCTCCCAGACATTTAATGGTGTCCCTGGCTGTTCTGTGGTTTAATCTGAATGCTGTTTTTCTTCTTTTTCTTTCCTTCCTGTCTACCTCGTAATTGAATCTAGTCCTTTGTTCAATATCTGATTATCTTTGTGAACTAATAGTAATTAACTTCTGAACTGCATGTAAATATTACAGACTTACAGGCTTTCTTTTCTTTCCAGGCAAAATTGGCTAAGAACTATGGAATGACCCGCATGGATCCATACTGTCGAATACGGCTGGGGTATGCTGTGTATGAAACTCCAACAGCACATAACGGAGCCAAGAACCCCCGCTGGAACAAAGTCATTCAGTGCACCGTACCCCCGGGAGTGGACTCCTTTTATCTAGAGATATTTGACGAGGTCAGAACTATATATATATTTTTCCCCCCTCCCCATCTCCTGGTTGGACTGAGATTCGTGTGGGATCTTGCAAAAAAGGATTGAGTTACCAAAGGCTGCTTTTTAGCTATGATTTCTGGGAGGCCATGAAAATTTTTTGGAATCCCAAGAGCAGCAATGTGTAAGGCTTCCCTCTTCCCCAAGAATGTCAGAACTGTTAATTTTCCTTTGGTACCTGTTAAGGGGCTTTAGCAGGGTTCACTGCAAAGGAAGAGCAACAAAAATGTTAGAGTGATGTTTAAACTCCTCCTCTTTGCTATCAAAACACCCAACAGCCTTACATTCTATACTGTCCCTATAAAAAGTAGCTTGTTTATACAATGCTGTTTTATTCAGAAGTTCTTCAGTGTTATCCTAACCCAGGAGGAGCTTGGAAGCTTTCCCAAGCTCAGAAATGTTGAGAATAAAACTGTCAAATATAGATTGTGTGTAGTCGCTACGATGTATTAGCAGCAACATAACTTAATCTATACTTGCCTGAGTTTCATTCCAAGTGGGCATGTAGGCACTTGACTGTGCTTTACTTAAGACACAGTGGTAATAGATATCTAACCTCTGAATGTTTTCTTGGAGATTGAATGGGTCTGATTAACAGCTCTGGTAGGTAATCTATTCTACAAAGCTTTTCTAGAAGAGTACTAGTTTGAATTCCAGTATGTTGTTCTGCTAGATGTTGTTACTGCTGACAGCAGGGAATATGTGCCGCCATCTCAGCTGTTCCAGTTCAGGACTTAGCACAAACATACCTTCTTGAACGATTTAAACTGAGAGGCTAAAACTGAAGCTAAAGTCTGTGGTTTGCCTTTTTTTGCTGCCTCTCATGTAGTAAGACTTGTCACTGCACCAGCTGTGTGGTCATTGCACACGTGAGGCTTTTGGATGCTGTTTTGTGGGTTTAGTTGAGTTGGTTGAAGAGTCTGTTCCATTGCTGCAACAGGGGTGGCAGACCAGTACTTGTATCTGCTCTCAATTGCTGGAGTTCATAGCCTGTCGTAGCAGTGTAAACAGTTGTTTACATTCATTTAATGGCCTCTGGTATGATGACGCTAGATTGACACAAACTCTGCTGATACTAGTATGTTGTATTTCTGGAAGTGTTTTGCTTCACGTTTTTAATTTATTATTAAATATCTGTAATCAATCTATAATCCCACTTAAAGCATCATTCATCCTTGTTGGAAAGGAGATGGCTAAAGTATTTACCGATACTGTAGTAATTTCAAAAGGAATAACTTAAATAAAATTGGCAAAATTAAATAGCCTAAAACTGAAGGAAGTGTTAGTCAAGGATAATTTTAAGTTTTGGGGGTTTTTTAGGACAATTAACTTGATAATATTTTTCAAATTATGTTCCAGCGGGCTTTTTCAATGGATGACCGCATCGCTTGGACACACATTACAATTCCTGAGTCTCTGAAACAAGGAAAAGTGGAGGATGAATGGTATAGCCTGAGCGGAAGGCAGGGTGATGACAAGGAAGGAATGATTAATCTGGTTATGTCGTACACGGTAAGCCAAGGGTGGCTTGGGAGGAGAAAGGGACAGAAGCTTTTTGGGTAGTAGGAGAGAGGTGTGTTAGACAGAAGTAGTTAGTTCAATTGTACCTTACTGGGTGTTTGTGTGCTAGCATTTAAAATCATTAACTTTGGGAATAGCAGTCAAAAATATTAGTTAAGGCAGTAGAAACCTTTTGGTGAGGTGATATATGGGTATTGATTTAGCTGGTTTTGCTTTTACAAAAATTCAGCTTATTCTCATGCTAATAGAATTATAAAAAAGGAATCCTCAGTCAAACGATCCACTGTAATTTCTAATTTAATAATTATTATTATTTAGAATAATCATTAAATCTTTAGAAATTCATGTCAATTTAAAAGCAAAAATAATTGAATCTCTTGTCTGTCTTGGATCTTTCTTGGATAGTGTGGGTTCTCTTTCTGATGACTTTATTATTAATTCTATTCTTGTTCATTTGGTTGTGACCTGCTGATTTACACTCATGGACTATTCTCTCGTCTGTCACCTTTAAGTAGCTGTTGGAAGTGTAGCACATGCAGCCCTCAGTGTTTCCTACTATGATCAAAAGTCCCAGGTTGCTTTTGAGCGTACAACCGGGAAACAGATGTTCCCTGCTGTTAGAAATTCCCATTCTGCCCCACAGCGGAACAGTTGTTCCATTACCTCTAGGAAAAACAAGTTTCTAGTTAACCTTTAGAACTGTCAGCCCGTGAATGTACTGTACATAGAATCTGACCTTTTAATATTTTCTAGGGTCGAAATGGAGTTATGGTAGTAAAAGGGAATGGAGTTTAATTGATTTTTTGTTTTAAGTAGTGGTTTACCCCAAAAATATTTGATTTGAACTAAAATTTGCTTCTAGGAGCAGTATACTACTTTTAATCAAATTTGCTCTAATTGCCGTCAATATGTTGTATATTCATTTCACAAGAATAAGGCATGAAAGCTGATTAAACACATATTTTAAAATAACTTTGCTTTAGTAACAACTTCAGTAGCAAATATTATCAGACTGTTGCGAAAAGCTAGTTTGACATGTGTTTATATTGATTTACAGGCAAAAATGGGATGGTAGTTCAGTTAATTTGCCAGAGATTTTGCTGAATATAGATTAGCACTTAGTCACATTGTAATATTGAACATGGATTTGCAATGTGGTGGGTTTTTTTTGCAAATACTGTTTTAAATGTTTTCACTGCTGGTTTATTTTTTTCTATTTCTTGAGTAGTTCTAACCTGTTCTAATCTATGCTTTTTGTCTCAAGTCTTTGCCAGCTGCCATGATGATGCAGCCCCAGCCAGTGGTCCTGATGCCCACTGTATATCAGCAAGGAGTTGGATATGTGCCTATAGCAGGTATGTTTTCTCTCCTTGAAGACTCTTAAAACTTTCAGATTTAAGGGTTTTGCAGAAATAACTACCAAATTTCTCCTGTTTTTCGGAACATGAGGGAAGCTCTAAATTATTTTGTCCGTGACCACTTTTCCCGTGATACATTTTTGAGAGGGAAAAAGTAAGTGTAGGTCTGCTTTCAGTCTTGTACCCTGCTTAAGGGAGCTGCATGAGTTTGATTAAATGGATTAAAATCACAGAATCATAGAATGGTTTGAGTTGGAAGGGACCTTAAAGATCTAGTTCCAACCCCCCTGCCACAGGCAGGGAGACCTCCCAGTAGAATGAATATCAAGTTGGAAGATGCAGCCTGAAGGCTTCTGTTTTTGAGTATTTGTTTTAGACTTATGTCAGGTCACTGAATCAATAATTATCTGTCAGGCTGCACTCTTAATATAATGTGGGCTTATTTAAATGGTGGCAAACCATGTGTGAAACTTCAGACTTCAGAAAGCGCACCAAATGATTTGTGCTGTCAGAACTGCAGCTTAAATAGCCTGTAAAGAGTTTGACTGCTCTGTGATGTTTGGAGGTGCTTTGTTGGACACTTGCTCCGCAGCATGCGAAGTTTTGCAGCACAGTGAATGAAGAATGTGAGGGAGCTCTGAGATAGTTCCATAAATACATCAGGAAGAGCTGGAGCAAGTATTATCAGTTCTCTTAGTCTGTGCAAAGTAAGTTTTGGACTTGAATAGAATGAAGTGTTAACTTAGGTTTTCTAATTTTTCTATCAAAGGTGAAAAGCCTGAAGTATGTAAATAATCTTGAACTTGTCCTACTTGGATAACTGATAAGAAAGTTGGGTTTTTTTGTGTGTTTCACAGCTCTTCAAAGCTGCAGTTTGTTGTATAGATATTTATTCAGTAAGTTGGGTTCTTCTTAGGGAGAGTAGGATATAAATTTACATATTTTAAATATCTTTGCATACAAGTGAATGAATGAGTGCTAGAGTGTGTGGGGCATAATTGCAGTGCTAAGGGCTGACACAGCAGATATATACTTATTTTTTTTAAAGACTATTCCTGATTGAATTTAAAATTTCACTCTGTAAAAACAAACCTCCTCAACAGAAGACTGGATATGTAACTTAACAAATCATACCTCCTGCTTCATTGTTACAGAATTAATTTAGAGCAACACATGGAAATGCTTGGTTATATACTTTATTCCCTGATGAAAACGTGCAGTTTGCTTCATTTGAAGTGGTTTTTTATCACCATAACTTAGTTCTTAATATTTAAGCCTTGCTTACTTTGCCAAGGAACTAGCTGCAATATGTGTGTGCATCCTGAAGTGTGATTCCGTTGTGTAAGCCAAACTTCTGTGTAGCTTTTCTGTGCTTGAATTAGATGCCATATCTTTTTTGCTTGTAGTTTCATTACATCCATATATAGTGAAGCAGTTAGTGAACTTCAAATGTAGTTATCTTGTGTGTGGTTAAAAGAAAAACAATAGCTGTGGTGGTACATACAGCAAGGTCGTAGAGAGTGCTGTAGAATTTCTTGAACAGATCAAAATGAGAATATTCATAATTACTGTGCCAGTTGCAGTACAAACAGTAGAAATGAAGAAGAGACTAGTTTCTGGTTTAAGTGAAACTAAACATAGAACTGAACAGATAAAACTGATACTAGACCTTCAAAGTAGAAAAACAAGTACCGTGGTATATCTTGATGTTCAGACCTTGGTGTTCTGTAAGTTTTGTATTTATCTTGAAAACATTTTCAGCAATACTGGTTTAATCTACTTGAACAAGTGAGGAAATAACTAATATTTAGCAAGTGATAGTAATATCTGACATTTTAGCATATAAGAATTTGCCTTTGTGTAACTATTTTGTTGATCTGTGTGTTGTTGGAGCATTGCCCTTCTGCAAAGATCCAGCATGTTTGTTTTAATTACTGCTACAAAAATCTTCTGTGTTAAAAATTCTTCCTGATTCTATGACTTGGATTTTAAAGCATTGCGGAGTCCCACCCTTTGGTTTGAACTGTTGTTCTGGGAAAGCTGAAATGTGCTTCCTTGACTTTGTAAATGCCAAACTTACTACAAGCCACCTTTTGATATTAGTTTTTTTAAAAGACTGTGCTGAGTTAAGGACCCATGGCAAACTGAGCACCACGTGGCTGCTTGCTCAGCCTTCCTGGTGGTGAGATGGGCAGGGGAATTGGAAGAACAAAAGGCAGAACCTCGTAAGTTGAGATAAGGACAGGTTTACTCATACAACACAAGAAAAAAAAATATTAATAAGAATACCCAATACAGTTGCTCACCACCTGGAACCTGATGGTATGGTATATCCATTCCCTTGGCTAGTTTGGGTCAGGTACTCTGGCTGTGCCCTCTCCCAGCTTCTTCTGAAAATTAACCCTATCCCACCTCAACCCAGGACAGTATTTCTGGTATTTTTTTTTTGTATTACTGAGTTCTGTCTCTGGTGTTCTAGAATTTCTGTGGGCATGATCAAAATTTCTGAAAGCACTGTGAGTTTTAAAGCTTTTGTCTAGTCACTGATCAGTGACTCACTCATAATTAGATGGATGGTTAGGTTTGGACTTTGAAAGTGGCTTAACTTCTGAATGCTTTTACTGTTCCATACATTTAATAGTATGGCTTAATAAAAGCGATTTCAAATTATAAAAGGAACCAACAGTGCATCTTGGAAAACATGGAGTATTGTCAGAATGTTTTCTGTATGCTAAACTAGATGCTGCTCCTGGGTTCTGTAAACTCTTTGAGAAAGGTCCATGCAAACTCCTGGCCTTTGCTACCCAGCTGAGTTGATGGCATCTTCTGGGGAAGCTATTAGTACACTTTCTTTGGAACACTGTACAGGGTTTTGTTAGAATCTACGTCTTATGATGGAAATGCAGTGGCTAGACTAAAATGCTTATCCAGACAATTTAATGGCTATTTGTTAACAGCCCAAAATAATTGTACTTTAGAGAGATATGGTGTTAAGTCAAATTCAGCTGTGTAAATAGGAAACCCGTTTGTACTTAACCTGCTTTTTACACAGGTATTTGTAAGTTAAAAACCCATGTGTTTCAGGGCTCTGTCAGAGTCCAGAATATAATTTTTCTTTGAGGCAAGTTGTGTGTATATGTACATTACTCCTTTAGGTGTCTTATGTTGAGTTTCATAGGTTAGCTTGTGGTGTTATTGGTATTTGTTCAGAAAACCAGGGATGTATGTTGTCCTTTGTGGGCTATAAAATGTAATCCCTGCTGCAAACACATGGTGGCTTACTTATTTTAAAACATTTCCTCTAATTGTTACTTACTTCTGTAAAAACAGCACGCTGAGGAAACTGGTTCAGAGCACTGGAGAAAATTACTTGGGAGACTAATCCTAGCAGCATTTAGTTTTTGACATTGGGTAGTTTAGGTTTTACCCAATTGGCTCAGTTTATCCAACTTTCACCTTTGGAAGCTAAATGGTTCATTTCCTTTTAAAAATAGATTAATATTTCTTTCCCATGTCTTATTCCTTTTCCCTTGTCCCTTCATTTTCACTTATCTTTAGGGCTTGAGTACTTTGCTCTGGGTAAGTTGCCAAGCTCTTTTCTCACTCCCATCCTCATTGACTCAAGAGTCTTTGCATGAACTCATCTAAACAGCTTTCTTTGTTACAGCAGACTGTATCACAAGGTATTGCCACTTGGATGTCCAATTGATCAATTTAATGCATCTCCTGGAAATTGTTAAAAGCCCCTCTGACCTGTTGGAAAGTCTTTAAAGACATCATCTCAGCCTCAAGCTGTAATGATTAAAGTAATTGTTGGTAATGGTGTTGATGGGTTAAACATGATGTTCATATTCTGAAACTGTTGTATGTCAGTGAGCTATTTGAGGTGATAGTACCTGTTTCCTAGAAGAGAAACTTTAATCTTGCAGTTGTTCTGCTACTGCAGAGTTTGGGGAGAAGCAGGTAATGTCATGGCTTTTGTAGACTTGAAGGCGTAGAACTCAGTTCTGCAGTGACATTGAGAAGACAGCCTGCCAATTGCCTTCTGTTAATCTTCAAATAAGCCTTTTTTTCGAAAATATAACACTTTTTTTCGCCAGTGCGTATCTTTCATGCACATCTGTTTTAGTTTCATCAAGTTCAGCGTCTGACTTGAACTCTGAAGGCAAATTATGTTACAGGAAATGAATTGTCCTTCCATTTAGGCTTACTTTACTATGACACCTTTGATTGTGAATGGTGCAAAGATTTTGTGACATTCTTAACTTTGATAAAAGCATTGGTCTTCAATCATGTATATTCAGAAAATTCTGTTATTACTGCTTGTGAGATAAAAATGTCATTTCTTGATGCTCTGAATTTCAGAAAGATGCTGTAAATAAAACTGATATGCTTGTCACAACATATTATTCAGAGCAGTAGAGTTGTAGAATCATTCTCTGGGTCCATGCGCTTCACTCTTCTGGTAGTTTGCAAAGAAGCAACATTTTAAAAAAATAGAGATGATGGCATGCATATTTCAGCACTGAATTTTATTTTTGGAAGCAAATATCATTAAGACCTATTTGTGTATTTTTAAAAAGGTGATACTGATTTCCTCCTTTAAATGAAAGAATTTGTGCTGAGAAGGTTCCCAAGTTTACTCTGAAAGGGTCTGTGAGTGGGATAGAATAATAATGACTTAAGAAATTAAACATAGGGCACTTGACTGAACAAGAAAATAAAAAGTGTGTAATGCCTTGTGTGCAGTTAGAAAAAGTTTCCCCTGTTAATGCTGCTTTGATGCTTCCATTGCTGCTTGTAGCAATTGACTTGCTATCGTACATACTCGGTTCATATATTTGAATGTCGCCGCTTATGCCAGCATGTTCGCCACTGCTGTTCCACTGAGTTGGAAACCAGCGCTCCGTTCTTGCGATTGATAACACTTACCTCATGTCTGAGAGCAGCACAGGAGTGTGCAATTCCACTGACAGCAGATTCGTACGTGGTTTAGTTTCAGTTTTCACCTGTTAGTGAAATGAGGTGCTTAACATGTAAAACAGCTTTTTATAGAACATTGATTTTGAAGTGTTTATGTAGTCATTAGAGAAAGTTATCACCTATATATGTATATTTGCTGAATTTTAGTTTATAGCTCTTTAAGTCTTGCTTACCATTTGGTAAATCGGAAATTATGGATGCTTTTAGCCTGAGTGTGGAACAAATAAAAAAATTGAGGTACTCTTTAAATTGGTATTTGTATAGCTTGAATGTTGAGTTTCATGAAAAGTAAGCATTTGTCATGGAAATACTTATTAAAAATCGTTGTGATACTAACTTCCATTTGTACACAGTGTAGTTGTAGGCAGCATAAACTAATTCTAGCACTGTAAGAGCTGAGAAAACAGATTTTGAAAATCATTAGTGAAGAAGAATCCTATCAAGAAACTTCTTGTCTTTCAATTTGAATACTTAGATTGAAAATACTTCTTGAATACTGCCTGCACAGGTGTCTGTCTTCATAATTACCTTGTTTTGATGAAAGCAGTAAGAAAAACTGTCTTCTGGTCTTGATTCCC